GTGGCACGGCCCCGGAGCAGCGGGACGTCGCGGGGAGCGGGGTGCGGGTTGTTTACCCCGGGGAGCGGGGTGCGGGTCGTTCGCCCCGGCAGTGTCCGGCTGCGCGGCCCTGCAGCCGGCTGCGCTGTGCTATATTTATCCCCTCTGGGTGTAACGGTTTCAGGCAGGTCCTAGTGCCTGCTGGGTCCCGAGAGCTGCAGTCGAGCCGCCAAAAGCAATGTCAGAGCCTACGGATCATGAGTAAAACAGTCGGATTTGTACAGTCCCTATCCCTGCCGCGGCTTCTTACAGGAAGCTAAAACCCCTGTCGGCCTCACAGGAAGGCGGCCGCTGGGGTCAGCACTGATGTAATATTGGTGCAATGATGCACTGTCGATGTGGTCACCTCCAGCTCACCTCCAGCTCACCTAGTTGCCCCACACCTACCACGAAAGCGTCTTTTGAGTAATCAGAAAATGATTTACTAGGCTAATTAGATACGGTAGCGCTAATCTTTCTGGACTTCAGCAAAATCGCTGGTGTGGTGCCAGGGCAGAGGGTATCTTACGTGTGCGCACGCAGCCACGCGTTCGAGCTGTGAAGCCTGGGAGGGGATGGGGCCAAAGGCCCGGCCAGGGGAACGCCACATCCGCTGGTGCCAGGTGCGTGATGCAGGGCTGGACGCGGGTCCCAGGCACTTCCTGGCAGACCGAGCCTGTGGCTGAGCTTCTTGAACACTTTTCTTTCTGGCCATGATGCAAAGAAAAGAGCCTGTGGCTGACATTTGGTGCTGGCACGAAGATGGACCTGGACTATCACAGCAGCCGGGCACAGACTAATAAGACTGGTGTGAAACACAATGCCAGCCAGTAAGAATCAGCCCTGAGGGATGAGGATGAACTTTCAGTCCGTCATGGAGGGAGGGGAAGCCAACTTGCTGTGCACCTGCCATCACTTGTGTCAACAACAGCCTGCCAGAGAGATGCTGGCTCCGGAGCCAAGGGAGATGGCTCCCTCACATAAGCATAAGAGCACAGCGTCCCCTCCTGCTGTTTGTCACACACCTCACCTGCCCACAGGCTCATTCCTCTGCCCTGTCGCTTCCTTCGCCCAGGGCTCAGGGCATGTGGCTGGACAAAGGCTCTGCCAGCCCAGGAGGCACCATTCAGGCTGGGTCCCTGAAGCTGGAAAGGAGAAAGCTCAGCATCACCCTGATGCTGCCTGCCCCAGCAATGTCAGAGAGCCCTTGGGTTCTCCTGCAGCCACAACTTCCAGGATTTTCAGGCACCACCCTCATCCAGCTCAGCATTTCCATGGCACACCCTTATTCCCAGGCCATGACACTGTGGATCAGACAAGGAGCCTTTCTGCAATCACGGCCAGGTATTTTCCTGATCAAACAGGCATGTGTTGGTTCCCTGTGCTGTGGAAAGGAGCCAGCTGCTGCCTGACCTTCCTCCGCTCGCCTGGGAAGTGACAAAGGCTCCTCTTTCTTCTGCCTGCCCTCATTTGAGGGCTTTCTTGGGCTCCTGCAGAGGTCCCTGGGTGGTGATTTATGGACATGCTTCAGTTCAAACCTGGGAGAAAGGAGAAGACACTGACATGACTCGAGACACCACAGTCCCTTTGCAACTTGCAACACTCATCGGCTCACCAGAGCCATTTTGGCCGTGCCGTGAAGGCCATCGGTTTCCAAAGCAGCACACACCACATCCCAGGACTGTCCTGGGAAATAGTGTTACCCAGCCAAGCAGCACAGGACGTAACTGAAAAACAGCACTCGTATATCTTCAATGAGGAGTGTGCCTACACCTCTCAGGATGTGCACTATGGTCTTTCCCTTCCCAATGCAGCAGGAGAAGAGGCACATGGTGTCCTGGATGCACCCCACCACTCTTTGAAGACACAAAGGTGGCTGCAGCTGTCTGAGCATACCACAGGGGCTCCAGGACTTTGCCACCTGGAAAACCACACAAGAAAGATGAGGGAGGGGTCCATTATTGCAGCCACCCGTCATCAGGCTGCGATCAACTGCCAGCAGCCACTGTTAAAAAAAAGTGGCTAACAGCAAGAACACTCCTAAAGGGCCCACTGTGCTGAGTTTTCAAAGAATCATAGAATGGTTTGGGTTGGAAGGGACCTTAAAGATCATCTAGTTCTAACCCCTTGCCATCATGGGCAGGGACACCTTCCCCTAGATCAGGTTGCTCAAAGTCCCATCCAACCTGGCCTTGTACACTTCCAGGGATGGGGTATCCACAGCTTCTCTGGCTTTTCCCCGCCACACCTGCTCTTGTTAGTAAAACCATGATTTTACTTCGCATGGCATCACACTCGATGTGGCATGAACCTTCCACTGATCCATGTGGGCAGCAGCAGCCCAGCAGATTGCTCCGGGATTTGCCAGACATACCTGGTGTGCCTTATTGGCTTATCAGTTCCCTGCAGCTCATCCCAGCACTGGTCCAGGAGGTCTCTGGGCCTCCATCCCAGAGCAGCATTGTCGCATTAGCACCAACAAATGTCACTGCTTCTGCACCCATGCTGCCTTGCTATGAGGCTACAGATGTTTACCAGCGACCTGCCTGCAGTTGACTTAAGGACGGTCGGTCCTTCAAGGCTGGTTGTCCCTTCCCACCAGCCTGCCCTGTATCGTGTGCCCATGCAGAGGAGGAAGTAAGAGCAGGGTAGTTACCATTACCTGGAGAGTAATTACACACTAAATGCAAATACCATCTCCCAGCAGCGAACACATGGTCTCCTCTGCAAGAAGATGCTTGAACTGCAGGGTAATGGTCTCATCCTCCGGCTAGGAAAGGTCTGATGCCTCAGTCCAGATTTTGCTGGTGGCTGCTGGGAGGTTTCTGGTCTTGGTGCCACTGCCGGTTGGGGTACGGTGCAAACACCTCGTGCAAGCAGCCCCGGTTACGCTGGCTGTCTCTCGTCCTCTTGCCATGTTCCGCTGTAAAGTGTCCCACCGTCTTGGCGAGCCCCTTGTAGGTACAGGGCTGCTACCGGAGTCGCTGCAGCCGTCCCTCCTCGGGGACAGCGGGCTGTGTGGCTGCAGGGAAGCAGGAGCTGAGCTGAGCCCTGGGCTTTCTGCAAGTTCTTAGCAGTGAATTTGCAAACATAGGGCGTTCAGCGGCATCACAAACCAACAGAAACGTTTTCAAACAGCTTTAATATGCACACAGCTGTAAGTGGCCGTTATTTAAGATCCTAATTAGACACAGAGGAGACAAAGGAAGCGACTGGTCTGGAAACAACTTCTCCTGGGAGAAGATCAACGTTTCTACACTTGTCTGTATGTATATAAACGTGCATGTGGTGCAAACAGCTGTAAGTGCAGGACAGGAAACTAAAGAAATACCTACTCACTCAAAGGTATCACTCAATTTATTAAATTTAAGTGATATTTGCTTCCAGGCAGATAGATACACTTTAGTAGTTTCCAGTTACCAAGTCTCTCTCAGACACTTCACGAGCGGCTTTCGACGCGTTACCTTGACTCCTGCACTCACCCGCTTCTGCAAGTGGACAGGGCAGAGCTGAAGCACAAACCTTTCTGCTGCATCAGTTCAGCCTTGAGCACGCGCTCGAGATCGAACACCTGCGTCACTGCGACGGCCCAGCGGTCTCCTGCGCTCGCCGCTAACCCTGCCAACAGCTGCACTAGGACAAGGCCACGGTGAGTAACGAGCACAACACTTTGCAATGACAAACACCGAGGGTGTTTCTGATTCCCCGTGCTATTATGCCATGACTTTTTGTGCATCTGTATGAAGAAGAGAACATTTAGCACACTTGCTCGGATGACTCGAGTCAGGTTCACCGTGTTTCCACCCACATGACATCCACACGACCCTAGCAGTTGTCCCTCCAGATGACACAGGGTTGAATGCAGGCAAACCCCCAAGCCCAACATCGGCATCAGCCTGTTACAAACCTTGTGGCTGAACGCACGATTCCATTCCTTGGGACTCCTGACCTGGCCTTTTATCTGTGCCTCAATGAGGAAAAAGGAAGAAAACTCCAAACTCAGCTTAAATGGAGAAGAAAAAGAATTGCCCTGTAAATACAGATTTAAGTCTCCAGCCTTTTTATTTATACAAGGATTCAAAGAACATATTTCAACTTTAGATAAACAGTGCAAGAGAGTTACAAGTACCTTGGTAACAGAAAGAAATAGATAACTGTCCAGCTATGCCAATAAGTGAAATAATTCTTACTCCTGCAGATAGAAATGCACCTGTTTAAAGCAAAGGTGGACTTTAGATATTTTGCTATACCTTAGCCCCTACCAAGCCCACCGGAAAACAACAGGCAGTTTGTCATCTGTAAATGATAAGTAGCTGCGCTCTCAAAGCCTTTTGAGACCCTCGCCCTTAGTTAAAACATACACATTATGGCACAAAAGAGCAAGCTGAAAGACAGAGACACTTGGAAATCCACTGTTTCTGGTTCTCCCCTTTCCAGGGACAGGGGTCTTTGTCAATATTTTTCCCTAGCCCACTACCCGCCTCTGCACCCCTGCGAAGTACGAGGCCTTTTCAAACCAAAACACCACGAATCAGCACCTCGGCAACATCGAAGGGAATGTTCCTCCCCAGCCACCCCTGTTCCCCAGAGCTCCCGATTCACCTAACCAGCCCGTGGCAGCCCCCGGCCGGGGCTGCAGCCCTCAGCCTGCAACCACCACGGGGCTGGGGAGTTTGTCACAACGGTTCTGAGTGGGCAGTAGCCCAGGAAACGTCATTGATAAGCACTGAAAAAGCCACAGGCTCAGGGCTTGTCTGGACCTGGGCTGACTTCAGTTTGTTGAGCTGTGCCAGCAGCTGCCTGGCCGTCGGGTAACTATAGTTTGCTTTAATTTAGAGCGATACCAAGTCGATACCCTGGGGGGCACTTGGCCGTTTAGGCCCCCAGCAGAAGGTGGCACGGCCAAGTGCAGCCCCGGGCCACCAAATTGCAGCAGGTTGGGGAAACCGCTTTGGAATAACAAAGAGAATGGAAAAACTGAATAACCATGAACCAAGAAAAAGCAGCAGCGTAGGCAGACTGTGTGAAAAGGTACACAAAACAAACCCAAGCGGCCCCAGGACCGAGCACGGAGGAAGCACCACCGCCACCATCACGCGCCTCCAGGCACAGAGGGGGAAGAGCCCCGGGCGCTGCCCTCGCCTGACCCATGCAGCCCATAGGCTGCCGATGCTGCCTGAGCCCCTCCTCGGCCCCACGGCAGAAGCTGTCACCTTCATAGAATCACAGAATCATAGAATGGTTTGGGTTGGAAGGGACCTTAAAGATCTAGTTCCAAACCCCCTGCCATGGGCAGAGAAATCCTCCACTACACCAGGTTGCCCAAAGCCTCATCCAGCCTGGCCTTGAACACTTCCAGGGATGGGGCATCCACAACTTCTCTGGGCAACCTGTTCCAGTGCCTCACCACCCTCAATGTAAAAAATTTCTTTCTTATATCTAATTGAAATCTCCCCTCTTTCAGTTTAAAGCCATTGCCCCTTGTCCTATCACTACACACCCTTGTAAAAAGTCCCTCTCCAGCTTTCCTGTAGGCCCCCTTTAGGTACTGGAAAGCTGCTGTAAGATCACCCCGGAGTCTTCTCTTCTCCAGGCTGAACAGCCCCAACTCTCTCAGCCTGTCTTCATAGCAGAGGTGCTCCAGCCCTCGGATCATCTTCGTGGCCCTCCTCTGGACCCGCTCCAGCAGCTCCATGTCCTTCTTATGTTGGGGACTCCAAAGCTGAACACAGTATTCTAGGTGGGGTCTCACGAGAGCTGAGTAGAGGGGCAGAATCACTTCCCTCGACCTGCTGGCCACACTTCTTTTGATACAGTCCAGAATACGACTTGCTTTCTGGGCTTTGGCAGAAGCTGTCACCTTCGGGGTCCAGAGGGACGCTGAAGCGTGAGCTCAGCCCCAGCCAAAGGGCGAGGGCGTACCAGGAAGGGTTTCTCCTGCGTAAGTTTTTCCTTTGAGGCTTTGCCTTATTGATTTGGATTATTGGGTTTTATTATCATAACAGGACCAATAACTTGGGCTGCTAAATTGTTAAAATATTAACTGGACAATCAGTAAATCCTTGGCTTCACGTTTAAGGTGTATTCCCCCTGGGGCCCAAAAGAAGCTTTTGAGGGTAACAGGCTGACAGCAAACACTAACTGCACAGAAATGGAAACGACCAGGACTTTCCTTTCTGCAAAGTAGAACGCTGACCTTGGCAGTCATGTATTAAAACTCCAATTCAACTCAACTGTTTTTCTGAACAGGGTACAATGTTTTAATGCCCCTCTCCTTTTTCATTTTTTCAAAGTTTCTGCAGGACTGGTTGTGGGGATTTCTGTAAGTGAAGGCTAAATTGGTATTGGCAATTCTGGTTAAAAAAAAAAAAGAAAAAACAGGAACTCTTTAGAGTAGTAAAAGTAAAATGTGGAACTTGCCTTATTTCTAGAAGTAAATAAATCTGTGACTTGCATTTATCCACTCCTGGGTTTTGATGGATCTAGTGGTGTTGTATGTTCTTTAGCCAATGTCCAGCATCCTGGCTTTCGTTTCTGAAACCCCACCAGATTAGATCAGAAGGCGGCACGTACAAGGCAGGAAGGACACCGAGTCAGTAACGTCAGTCATGGTGACCTGGAGTAGCCAAAATCGGGCTAAAATCTCTGCCTAGTCTGACGAACCATGAGCGTCGTTACCTGGCCCCAGGACGAGGTGGGCAGGAGCTGCTGCTGCCTCCCGCTGCCTGGTGGGACCCCTGCCCCAGGGAGGGCAGACAAGCTCCCCCCGCACCCAACTGCACCAGCTTTCGGCATTACCTTGCTCATGTTCTCATCTTCCCTTAAATTGCACGTTCTAGCAACTGCTAATAGTAAATTTTTCTTTTTTTCCTTCCCCTTTTTCTTAGAAAATAGCCAAACCCCAACCCCATAATGTTTGCTTAGCCTGAAGACACGTCTCCTCTGGCAGGACAGAGGAGAAATGCTCAAACATGTGCTGTGCAGACCAGCAAAGTAAAAGGTAGCTGCACCTCTGCCCTCCCTCTCGCCTGCAGTACAAACATATTTGAAACTCAGACCCAACTCCACAAGAATGAAGCCCAGCCCCTGGGCGTGCTCTTGGCCCAACCGCTCACCGTGACTGTGTGGTACCTACAACACCTGCTAAATCTACTTCTCCGGCTGATGCTTGCCGCACCCATCAGGTACAGAAGCCTTCTGGAAGCCCCGAAGTGCACAGCCCTACAAGCACAGACACTCCTACAGCTACATGAGGATATTTATATCTTTCACTGACCACCCCTAGTCTCAAAACCTGGCACAGAGTCCACCCCATCGAGCATTTTGGGGTTAGGCACCTGCCCACATGACCCAGTGGCTGGTGTGTGGTGGGATGGTGCTGCAGAGAGTGACCCTGGTCCTTCTCTGAGCCAAACCAGAGCCACCGGTGGGTGTCTGACCTGCTGTGTCACCCCGTCCCTGCAGCGGTTAGGGAAGGTGCATGGGAGGATGGGGAAGGGATAGGGAAAGCAGGGATACACTTAGAAACCTACAATGCAACAGGAACAAACACCAAAAGAAAAAATATCTCAGCCAGAAATGTGTCCTGTCCCCACATCCTCCCCAGTAGATGCTACCTTGAGTCAGTCTCCTGGTAGGGACAGTGTGCAGCCCCTCTCTGCCCCAAGGCAGCTGCCTGGTCCATCACTCCCACACGGGGTGAGCTCTCACAACCAGTCATGATGCTCCAGTTAGTAAAAAGTCTCTGGTCTTTCCTATTACCAAAAAAAGGGATTCCCACTGACGGCTGGGGCCAGAGGAGGAGGAGGAGGAGGCAGCACAACTGTCTGTCAAGTGGAGAATCCCACTGTGCGTATTTTCATCCCTCTGTTACCTACGACGGTACTGCACTGCAGGTACAAATTGGACCATCATTACTTGGGTAAAAAATGGCTTTCCAACTAGCATGCAAAGAAAAAATACCCCAAACCCCAACCCCTAACACTCATTCCCAGTCACTTAGATGTAGGAGACCTACATTTCAAATCGTCATCAGCTACGAGCTCTAGCCAAGAAACCCACTTGTGACCTTTCCAGCGAAAAAGGAAGTTCTGCGTTTTTGGTTCCAACAGCCACTGCCAAACTGCTTCGGTTCAACCCACCAAACCTGCTCCCGCTCCTACGTGCGCAGCTGGAAGGGGAGGGCCGTCTCTGCCTGCCTACGAGGTACAGAGGGAAAACCCAGAGGAGCCCCCGAACGCAGCACTTGAGCAGCGCCGACGACCTCAGTCTCTCCGCGTTCCGTTACGATGCGGCGTTGCTCTCGGCCCCGTCGTGCTGTCGGCAGCGGCATGGCAAGCAGCGCTCTGGGCAGCGGCTGGGTGACGACGTCGGGGCAATTGCATATTCCACTGGAGGCAGCAGAAGAGCCGCCCGCGGAGGGGCCGGCTGGGTCTCCCCCGACGCCTCTCGAGAGCCAGTCTGTGGCAATAACAAAAGTAAAACAATGAGGTACGGAAAGAAGGGCCCAGAGCTGGGGAAGAGACCAAGAAAGAAGAAAACAGCTCGAGCACTGCCGGAAGTAGCAAACAACTGAAACCTTTTTCTCCTCCCTCTTTCTTTTTTTTTTTTTCTTTTTTTTTCTTTTTTGCCAAGGTGAATTAAATACGTCCTTTTGTTGGTTGGTTGGTTTTGGCAAAGTGAAGCCCTCGGCCGCAGTCTCTTTCCTGGCTGTGCTAGTGAGGAGTTACCGCCACAAGTGTTGCGCGGCAATGAAAGCCACCGAAAGGAGGAGGAGGAGGAAGGCAGAAGGCAAAGATCTGCTGCTGGCCCCATTGATGCCGTGTCCAGACTGCTTAGGAATAGCGTGCGTTTCTGGCTGCCTGGTGCTGGGGCTCTTAGAAAGTCTTTTGCCACACACATCGTCAGGACAGCTATCGCCGCTCCCGGAGCCGCTCATGTCGTCACCTGCGCAGAGACAAACACGGGGTGAGCCCTGACCACCCTCCTGATGGCAGGTGATGTCCCTGCCTTCCCCTTGCTGCAACCCCTGGGAGCTCTGGCCACCAGCCCTGCCTTGGCCACCTCCTCTCTGCATCTCTCACTAAGAGATGCAAGTCCATCCCTGATCTCCAGCTGACTTGAACCACACGCTGCTGCAGCAGCCAGAAACCTCTGGGGCAGATGAGAGCAGAGGCTCCATCAGCCGGGCTGGGCTGGGACTGGGGAGAGCACCTAAGGCTTCAGCGAGGCGCCGAGAGCAGCACAGCCTCCAGCCAGCCCACAGTGAGTTGGCTGTACTCGAACAGACCCTCTGCCGCCCCGACCCAAAAGGCAGGTCGCCACAACCCCTCTCTGCCATCAGCGCCCAGCTCCAGGGTCTTGTGCGGCCTGCCGGGACCGACTGCTCAGCCCCCTCTCGCCGGCCATGAACCTCTCCGGTTCTGCTAAACTCACTTGCGTCTTGGAAATCCACATCGTTCCCGATGTTAGCGTTGCCCAGCCGGTTTGTCATGATCTTTAGCTGCATGATTTGCTGGCGAATGGTCATATCTGGCTTGGTGATGTCCACCTCCACCTCTGGGTTGTTAATCTGATTAGCTAAGCCATCCCCCATCACTTCGGGCAGGTAACTGCGGAGGAAGGCGACAGGTTTAGATGTCTCACCCCAGCTAAGCTCACCTCTCCCCATGACGGGCACCAGTGGTAATCCAGCCTCTCTGAACCCCAGCGAGGCTGCTTTTTGGGCTTGTTGAACAGCCTCCAGACGCTGGTGTTCACTGCCAGACAGCCAGCTCCAGGGATGTCGAGCCATGCTGCTGTGGTCAGACCCCATCAGGGCCTGGGGCTCGCCCCGGGCTGCCCTCGGCTTGCAGGAGGTGGCTGGTGGCCTTGCAGTGTTGCTGTCCCCGCATGGGGAGGGGTTTCCTGCAGGAAAGGCTGTGTGTGGGGCAGAGGGGCTGCTCTCAGGCTGGTACCTGTGCAGCTGCAGTGACACTCCCCTACGGAAAAGCTGTGTCCGTTTGGGAGGCTGAGGAGAACCTTCATCCCTGCCCTGATTAAACCCTGTGGGAACTGACACCTGGGATGACTGAATGTCCCCAGGTCTGTACGAGAAGACAGGCCCTCAGGGAAGCTTCCGCTAACTGAGGGCTGTCAGCTGGCACACAGATCTGCTCTGCTTCCTTTGGCACCATCCCGGCCACCTGCCCCGGCAGATCCGCGGCACTGCTGGCAATGACATGAAATAGGGAAGAACCAAAAGCGCCGGCTCTGGGCTGGCGGAGACCAGCCCAGCAGGTCTGTGGAGAGAAGGGAAGAAAGGTGGGTGTCCAGCAGCTGCCCATCTCCCCTCACAGCCATCCTTCAACCTTCAGCCTGGGTGGGAGATGTTTCTGCAGCTGTCTGATGTCACCCAGGTACCTCCTCTCATTAGGAAACAGCATTTCAGAGCAGGTATGGATAGAAAGATGCGTGTGCAATTCTCAGTGACAGCTTGGGAGGTAAATTCAGCCCTTCCACCTTCTGAGTGCACGTGGAATTGCAAAACTGCTTCATTAGTACAAAACCCCACAGTTTTTTCATGGCGGGTGCATTTCAATGCTTAACCTCCCGACATACAGCAAAAGGACAACACGCTTGACGTTCCCAGGTATCAGTTTTTCAGGAAACGCAGCATTTCTGTGGTCAGGGATGGACCCTTTGGCTCAGTGCAAACAAGTGGGGCTGGCTGAGATAATGTATAAGTGCCTTTTATCAAACCCTCCCTCTCTCACCCCAGAACGGTGCTATCCCGGCACCTTGACCCTCTCCATACCTGCCCTTGGTCATCCCGTTCCAACACTTGTCGTCCGCCGCTGAGCTGGCCATTACTTTTTTGCTGCACAGGCTGCCAGGCAGGGTGATCCAGTAAGTCTTGAGAGCTGTCAGATTCCCTTTGGCATCTAAAACCTGTCAACAGAGAGGATGCTCAGGGCCAGGAGAGCTCAGGGGTGCCCCAGGGCTGTGGAAAGGACAAGGATTCTGGCTGTTTTTATTTTGTTTTACCATCATGAAGTCTGTTTTTATGCAGACAGGGACGAGTCACCAACCTTACCCTAAAGACCAACCATCAAACCCAAGCACCCAAGGCCAAAGGTTACATGCTAAGGACTGTTCTGGTACCATAAGATTAAACAGGAGAATATCATCTTCTGGGCCATGAGGGCAATGCTGAGAAGCAGCCTTGGTGGGAGCCAGCAGTGGGACAGGGTGGGACAGGCAGATGTCTGTGAGTGAGGAGCCTCTGAAATGTGGGCCCATGGCATATTCCACAGCTCATCATCCACAGAATCCAAAATCTCCATGGAGGAGGACCGCTGGCCCCAGTATCCAGGCTGGACTGCCCGAGGCTGAATGACACCAATGTCAAGGAGTCTTTTCAGATAAGTTTGGCACCAAATCCTCGAGAAACTGGTTATGAGCAACCTAGACCCCGACCCTCTGCTGAGGCAAGATCAGATCTACTTAGGTCATGCCAGCACTTACTGATCTGATCTTCCTCAGACTCACCAGCAAAGGTGATTCAGCAGCCCGCGGGGTGGCCTGTCCCAACCCGCAGGACCCAGCACCGTGCCGGCCGGGCTCCCAGGGCAGGGAGTGTGCCCCAGCACACCTACCCGGACACACTGGCGGGGCAGAAGCTTTGGAGGCAAACTCACCAGCATCTCCAGTGCTTGTGCAGAGGATTTTGCTTCCAACGCAACCTTTCCCCGCCTCTTCTTGTCCTCGCTGCTGGAGCCCTTTGTGCTGATTTTGGGATTTCCACAGCCTTGGAAAACCTGAAAAACAAACCAAACGCTCTATCTTATGATTTGATGCTATTTCTTTAATTAATTAGCACTCCACAGCTACGTTGTTTTTTTTTTTTCTTCTTCTTCTTAAGTATGTTTATCTTTCCTACCTGCAAGATCTCCGAGATTCTGGCTGGGTTTCTGGTCAGGTTACTCGTGTGGCAGGCTGTGTTTTCAGCAAGCACACTGTAACTGGCTTTGGTTACCGCGATCAAGCAAAACGTTCAGCACTAACCCAGAATTAGCACATGTTTTTGAATGAGTCACCAATGTTGATGTTAAACTATTGGTAGCAATTTTATCTGTTGATTATGACTGAAAAATGAAACTCTGCCAAGAACAAGATGAGAGTTGCTCACGCTCATTACTTCAGCGGTGTGAGCTTCAAGACTGCAGAGCATGTGAGCTTCATTGATTTGGACAACAGGCTGAGGTGGGACTACCCCAACATCTCTCTCAGTCAGCACCCACACTCAGCCCATGAATGTCCCCTCGGAGCAGGGGAGGGCTAAGACAGTACATGTGTCACACAGTCTGTCAGGTTGGATGTTTCAGGAGCAAATAAGGAAGCGGAACTGATCTACTCCTTAACTTTGGGTACCAAAAGGAGAGCAGAAGACCTTTGAAGGTACGAATCCGGGTACTGTTTCTCCCAGTCTCTGCGTGACCAGTCCAGATGGTGACAGCTCCACTGCAGATAGCCAGTGCTCCAGCAACTGAGCCTCGCCGTGGCTGGTGGAAGGAGTGCTCGGAGAGCCAGATTTAATAAAGTGCCAAAGGTCAGAAGGGCCTCTGCACTGTCAATTTGATTCAGGAAGCACCAGCCTTTACAAAAGAAGCCATCTGATTTGAAAAGATGGCCTCAAGCTTGCTGCAGTTACCGGGGCGCTGTCAGAAGCTATCGACAAATCCGACTTTGCAGGGTGAGATCACGACCTCCGACAGGAGCACTGCCAAGGCAGCTTGTGCCAGCTGCCGAGTGCTTTTACTAGCGGCCTGACAGCCATCAGTAAAGACCTCATCTTGACAAGAGTTCCTTTGGTGACAGTGGGTCTCATTGCTGTGTCCAGGGGACATTCAGACTGGAAACCTTCCCCCTGGGGTGCACCGTCCTGCTGACCAGATGGCTCCAAGGGACTATGGCAGTTCAGCACCAAACCATTTTGCTTATCTGAGGAGGGCCATGAAGATGATCCGAGGGCTCAAGCACCTCTCCTGCGAAGACAGGCTGAGAGAGTTGGGGCTGTTCAGCCTGGAGAAGAGAAGGCTCCGGGGTCATCTTCTAGCAGCCTTCCAGTACTTAAAGGGGGACTACAGGAAAGCTGGAGAGGGACTTTTTACAAGGGCATTTAGTGATAGGACAAGGGGTAATGGCTTTAAACTGAAAGAGGATAGATTTAGATTAGATATAAGGAAGAAATTCTTCACTCTAAGGGTGGTGAGGCACTGGAACAGGTTGCCCAGAGAAACTGTGGCTGGCCCCTCCCTTCAAGTGTTCGAGGCCAGGTTGGATGAGGCTTTGGGCAACTTGGTGTAGTGGAGGGTGTCCCTGCCCATGGCAGGGGGGTTGGAACTAGATGATCTTTGAGGTCCCTTCCAACCCAAACCATTCTATGATTCTGTGATTCTATGATCTGTCTTCTTTGCTCGGTGCAAAAGGCCCCACCTTTGAAAACGGCATGTAGAGCATTTTCAATTTGGTTCTACCAAAATAAAACCAATTTAGTTTCACTGCTGTATCTTTCCTACTGGCCTAGTACTTCTGTTACCAGCAGACAACTCTTTGAGGAGGTGGAAGCCCTGGGAGGTCTCCCAGAGAGTGCCTCTGGTAGCGGTTCCAGCACAGTATGGTACCAGGGCCACCATCTTGCTGGGCCCAGGGCTTTAGGTGGGCAATGCCCGTTTATGAGGGGGAGAACACGTTTCATGAAGACTGAGGTGATTAATAGTCTCCTGCCTAATGACAGCAAATAGGTGTTCGCAGCCTTCGATAGCTCCTGTGGCCTGAAATCCATCAGAGAGCCACAGGGAGTGAGGAGGAGTGCGAGGAAGCAGGGGGGAGTGCTCCATGCTGCGGGGAATGCAGGGCTCTGCACCAAAAACGTTCCCTTCCAGTTTTACCCCAGGTCCCAGGAGATCACACAACTGAGGGTGTTACGGGGCCCAAGGGCCACTTCTGGCTCTTCTCGCTGATGGCAAACCGTGCCCTGGCTCCAGGCTGGTAGCGCTGGAAGCCCTCAGCCGCAGCCCCAGCCTGCTGCCCTCAGCTCTCAGAGGGAAAAGCCCCAGGAGCCACCTGAGCCGGTCCCGAGCTCATCCGACAACTGCACCCTTTACCTGAGCACTTTGCTGTGTCCAAAACCAGAGCTCACAGCTGCAGCAACATGCAGCTCCTGAGCTCTGCCCCAGTGCCACCAGCAAAGACTGCCATTCCCCTGGCCACCAGAGCACACTGAGCAGCTTATCAAATGCGTTTGGTTGCTCCAGTCGAACACTGGTTAGACTTTTTACTCCTTTTTGATTTTACCAGATTTACTATATGCCCCTCAGAAACACTTTTCTTTGCAGACGATGTCATGTTTTCCCACATCATGGGCTTGCTTTTATGTGGACAACCTCAGTCTCACCTAACAAGGGAAGAAAGAACATGGTTTATCCTGTGAGAAAAGAAACCTAAATGAGTACTTGGATGCACGGTCCTGTTAGTGCTGTGACTTGTGCCAGCGAATTCCTGCTTGGCTGAGCAATACTTTTGGCCCTTCCCTTCTCCGAGACCCAGTCAGGACCTGCCCCGCACCTTTCGTCTGCATTTCTGCCCCAACTGGGGGATAGCTGCGGGACTTGGGGCACGTCTGGGCAAAAAGCAGAAGCCCTGGAGAGCTGTTTTTGTTCCCAAAGCTTCTCTCACCTGCAGCTATAGAGGTATTGTGGTTAACTGGATAAATATACTAAAAATAGAAGACCAACAGAAAATAGCTTCATCATATGCTTCTTGAAAGACAGGTGAGCATCAGGAGAGCCTGTTTAATGCTCTCCACATGGACTGCCAGATTATCACTCTGTCCCACAGGTACAACCTGACAGCCCAGGGTTTCCACTGTGGAATTACCCCAGGGCGGGTTAAAGCACCTGCCCTCTGTCACAGGGGACTGGGCACTTTCTGTAAATGCCTCAGCTCAACCAAAACACTTCAGGGCTCTTCAGTCACAGAGGCACCTGACAGCAAACGGCACCATGCTGCCCGGTCATCGCATATGCAGCTCACCCTGCGCGTCTGTACCTAAAGGAGGCTGTCTGGATGTAGCAGGGAGGAATATTTGGGAACACTTGAGATGTTTTTTGCCTGTGTAAGGTTAAAAGAGTGGGCATTTGATCTTTTTCATCCTTGTCCTCCTTTAGTTCAGTTGAATAGTGAGCACAGAAAACACTTGGTCCTGGCAGTCACACACAGTGTCTCCTCTGCCAGGCCCAGGCACATGCTCTTACCTTGGCTGTGATGGAATCTTTGTTTTCTTGCAAGTTAGAAATAGCTTCAGCGATCCTCATGTGAATAGTCCCTATTACAGCGTCTACGTTGTACGGTCCATCGATCCGATCAGCCACTACGACCAGGGAATCTAGTAAAACAAGACAGAGGCATCCTCTCATCAGACTCGGTAGGAACTGAGTTAAAGCTCACGCCGGGTGGGATAAGCTGTTGGCCCCTCGGCAGCTTGTCGGGAGACATCTCTCCGTTTTCATTACTGCCCAAGCGCATCCTCGTTTTCCTCTGGCATGGGGCAGCCGTCCCTTCCCTGCACACAGGCGAAGCCGCCCTCAGTGGCAGAGGAACAGAGGTCATCTCCTGCAAACGGGAAATTCACACAAAGTGACCAACATTTCCTAGGGTGCTGCAGAAAGGAAAAATGGAAAGTTAGTGCAGAAATACTAAATAATGAAGAGCAATACTTGGCCAGAACCCTCCTAACTCATTGCATGACTTCAGCAAAGCGCTGCAGCCAGCAGAAAGGGAGGACTGGGATCAGCAAAGTGCCAAGGGCACTGGACGTGGGCAATAGCTTCTACAGCAGTGAAGGAGCGAGAAAAGGAGTATTTCTCACCGTCACCTCTGGAAAGACAACACGTGACCAGCCAGGGAAACATCAGGCTGTAATGGCAAAGAAGCAGATCAAAACGCCCACCACTGAACTGGTAAACAGGACAGGGAGTGACTGAGGGGTGCCTCTTGCTCTCAGCTCCTCTTATCTTGGAAAGTTCTGCTGTCCAAGTGCTCCTGCCTGGCCTGGAAGCTCCTGCCTGGGTGGCTCCTTTAGGACCATCTTTGGCTTACAAAAAAATTACCAACCTCTGCCTACCTGCAGAGACGTTTCTCAGCTCTCCAGCTGGGTTTGAGGCAAGGACAGCCCACACTCTCGCAGGGCTTGGGGCACTGGGGAATGCTGCTGCAGAGGAGGGCTGACATCCTCGGTGTTCAGCAAGATTTAAGAAGGATCTCAGGGCAGGGTCAAAACTGGGTTTGGACATCTAAAATGGGATCTTAACCAGGTCTGACTTTGTAACTCTGAAAGTCATTGTTATGCTGCTGCTACCTCTGTTTCCTGACACTTGTGCTTTAATAGCCCACACATAAGATTGGTCAGCATTTAGGGACTTGGCATTCAGTTACATGTGACCTCAGATGGCTGCATTGTGATCTGTGTCCCCCAGGTAACACGAGAAACCCCCTGGCAGGACCAGGGATCTGTCACGAGCGCTGCGGTGGCCTGTGTTCATCTGCAACAGAAAGTGCTTCGTGTTCCTGCGGCCTCACCATGTGGAAGAAAAGTGAGAAGTGAGATGACTTCATGTTGGTTCTTCCCTACGCAAAGAGGGTCAAATCTCAGGGTTTAGGTTGGAGATCTGTACCGTTCATAAATGGGGTTATTAATTAGCAGTTGATTAATTCTTTTGTTCTAAATCCTGATACCTCACCCATCAGCCTGGCAGAGGACTGTCACACCAGATGGTGTGAAGTTGCAGAAAAGCTTATTCAGCATGAGTTTCTACTGCCGACATTACTCATGAGCAATGAAACCACCACGTGAACTGTACCTGGCAGTTCAAGAGAGTATCAGTAAAACACGTCCTTCAACCTACACCATCCCACAGTGTGTACGTGTCACCTGTGATACCGCTTTAAAGGACTGATGCTTATCTTTGAGCCGCGCAGCAGATTTCCTCTGAGCAGGAGTCCAGCCTGCTGGGGCATAACCACGGACCACTGGCATTTCAAACCTGCCAGGAAAGCATTAGTCCCTTGCCTGGGTGGGCCGGTAGGACTCGGCAGAAAGATCCCAAATGACTTCCAGGAGGTCTAGGTGAGCGCAGAGGCATTAGGTCCACAGCGGACGCCGTGCGCTAATAACAAAGGTCAGATCCTGAGCCCACTGCCGTTGATTCGACAGCGCGCCCGGCCCTCGCAAGTATGTTCTCTCTGCTCTTACGTGAGTGATACTCAGACCCTGACAGCTCCCAGAGCCACGCAAAGACTAGAAGAAGGACAGCACAAACCCACAGAAGATACCAGATCATGCCCGCAGGGCTCACAGTCCGAAAGCAGGTCCAGCCTGTGGGGGGTAAGGGCAGTCAAACAACTGGGAGGGCTCAAACCTCAGCCAGTCTGGAACGTGGGTCACAGAACATGCTTTGCTCAGGTCTATAATACAGGATTTAACAACATGCAAAGTCACAGCTTGGAAACATTATGTACTTATTTTCAGCACTTAAAAAAAAGAAAAAAGGTTTTGCTGATTAGCTTGAGTGAGAATAGAAACAAGGGCCAGAGTTTCCAAGCTCACGTGCCTTCTTTTCCTGCAACGCACTCCTACGGCAGCAATGATTTCTAAAGCTAAACGCGCCATACAAGGGGGTAACTTTTTTTGTATTCTGGGAAATAATATCTCCTGCAACATTAAAGGGCTTGCAGTTCAACTCTGCTGCCACTCAGGGGTTGCGGTGTCACCTTCGAAACTGTATTTTCCAGACAATTTTAGCTTGCAGAGGCACTAATGTTGAGATACAGACGTTTAAGTCAAGGGCTGCACCCCCAAATTAGAGATAAATTACGTTCGAAGCACTTACTATAAAAATCTCCCTTAATTTGACCTGCCCTAATTTGTCAAATTGAAAGAGTAACTCGGCGTTTAGTGTAACAAAATCCTCTCCAGCTACACAGAAGGGCCTGGAGAAGGGTGAAGAATGGACAATGCCAGTAAACTACCACCTTTGACGCTATGTCTTGCTCCAGTCCTTGATCAAACTGTGACCTCTGACACTAAAATGTACAACTGTGATTTGAAAGAAGCTCCAATTCCCTCCTAGTCGTCACGCCTTGACAAGAACGGTGTCTCCTGGGGAAGAGGAAGCCAGAATAAGTGCAAAACGCACTCGGAATTGCCTCCCTGTCACTTCAGGAGAGCTGTGCGTTGACCTTTCAGGAGACAGGCAGTCACCCTGCCAGGAGAGCAGTGACAGGTAACAGTTGGCTTGCTCTGGCCAGAAAGGCCAAAGCGCCATCAAAGTCCTGGGGCAAACCCTTAGGGAAGTCAATATCCCTCCTCCTCTTTTACCTCTCGAGCCACTCTCACAGGAACCACTTCCAATTAGCTTCAGCAAGTTGCCACTTGGTTCGTTAGCCCCTGGTGCGGGGCGGGCAGCTGCCAATGCACCTCACCCAGCAAGTACAGCAGCCTCTGCGTGCGGCGGTTCGATACTTATTTTGCAGTGTCCCTTGAGAGGCAGATGACACTCCCTGAACTTCAGCGGGATTTTTATTGTTAACACCACCATCCGTCGACCCTGAGCCAGCCCGCCGGGCTGCAGATGGCCTGTGAGGTGGTAGCCTTGCTGGCCAGGCAGCAGGTGCCACGGCAAGGGAAAAGGCCAAGCCTGAAGTTCATCTCCCCTGGTGTCTGCCTTCCGTGAGCCCAGACAGACATGCAGACTGCCTCAGGTCTCAGATCACTCCAGGTCTAAATGTACAACTTCGGAGAGAAAGAGGAGCTTGCTGGTGATGCTCTGTGGGCACGAGGAGGAGCGAGAGTTTTACCCTTGCAAACAACCTCCCCTGGTGGGCTGCAGCTGGGAGAGGATGTGTGCTGTAACACAAACACATCATTTTCTGAACACGGACCTTCACCAGCCTTATATCGTGTCCATCAGCTGCACAAGCCACTCTCAGCAGTAGTTGACATTTAAACCAGGAGCCACAGGCTCTGGACAAACAGCTGAGTGACACAAGGTCTTTGTAAAAGAGATGCTCAGGTCTGATCAGGCAATGCAGAATTTCTTGCAGAAATGCCTGGTTGACGTTCTCCAGCCTGTGTTGCCCAGGAGATCAGACCACACCATCACAGTGGTATTTCTGGCTTTAAACTCAATGAAACGGACATCTCTATACACATATAACCCACTTTAGAAGACCTATCATCTTAGCTGTGTGATAAAACAAAACCAAAATGAGTTCTCTTCTTATTTAAAACACAAGCCTGATTTTCCCATTCCTGGCAACGCCTGGGACTTCTGGCTCCCCTGGTATTTGTTTAAGACACATCTTTCCATTTAGAAGTATGTGAGTCTGATCCCTTTGCTCTCCACCCATGGAAAGGGTTTATGGCTTCACGTTTCTAGACTCCCTCCCAAGCCGGGCAGCAAGTGCTTCCCCTGCGCGCTCACAAGTGCTCTGGCATGGATGAGGAGGCAGCTCTGCCAGCGCACAGGTGGCAGGATCTGTCCCTAAGCTTCAACACTTGGGAGGGAAAGAAGAATTACTTGAATGCAAAGTGTGGGCAACCCCAAATGAGCACAGGCAAGAGGCAAACTCTTGAAGCCCTTGTTAGCCAGCCAGGAGCGTTCTTTCTAATGGTATCAAAGCTCAGCAAAATGTTCTGCAATAGCTTCTAGGTGTCAGATTACAGTCTGAGGAACTGTGGCATAAAGAAGCCTCCAACAGTCCTTTCTTTACTCTCAAACACTGCCTCAGAGAGTTCGAAAGGTGCCATGAAAGGCGGCTGTGCTGCAGCAGAGTAAGTTCCTCTTACCCATCAGGTACTTCCACTCGGTGTTCAGGTCCGCTTGGTTGGCCAGGCAGCCCTTCACGACGTTGAGGCAGTAGTTGTTGCACGGCTTCACACTGGACATGCCCCGGCAGTGTGGGCAGTACATCAGCTTCATGATGGCGCGAGTGCACTCGTGGCTGAGAGATACCTGGGGGAGGTAGATCAGAGTCAGGCACACGGGCAGGCAAGGGGAGCTCGGCCCCGTGGGCTACCCCCTCCCTTCCCCAGGGTGAAGGAGCTTGGCGTGATCTGAAAGGCAGCACGGTTCCCCAGGTGCATGACCCTGGGAAAGGCACTTCCCCTCTCCATGCCGCTCCTTCCCATCACCCGTCCTCAGGTGCCACCCCTGTCATGGGGATGGGACCTCCAAGGCAGCTGATGTTTCTTTCCCTGGGCTGTGTTTGAACCCAGGGGACTGGGAAAAACCCATATGTGATGTGAGCACCATCCCCCTTGCAGCCAGGTCTGCCTGGGCAGAGTCTACAGGGGGGTGGCCACAAGGACAGCGGGGGTAGTCCACGGGCTGTAACCGTGTGACCTGACACGTGTCACGCGTGTGTCCCTGGAGCTTCTGCCACCAGTGCCACCATCGTGCCCTTTCTGCAGGAAGGGTTTGTTGTCACTGCCCAGCAGATGCAGGTGTCCCACCACAAGCTAGTGCCTCCTGGGGGGATGCACGGCAGGGGCCTGGGCATGGGAAGTTCTCAGCTGGCACCTTTGGAAAGGAACATGGTGTTGGGGGAAGGCTCGAACAATTCCAAAAGCACTCAGCAACTGAGAGCACTTGACACGGGGAAGTGATTGCTCTCGGAAGGCGCTCCAGGAGCCACAGGCAGCTGGCGATGTGGGCCAACACATGTCGTGCCAGCAGCACGCAGGCACTGCACCTGCACCCGATGCTTTGCAGAGGTGACTCCAGAGGTGGCTTTGCCACCTTTAATTAAACCACCTGGTACAGAGCCAGCGCAGGTGCAGAGCCCAGAGAGCAGGGTGGCAGCCTCTGTAGCACGTCAAAGTACCCCCGGACCATCAGCCACGGGACAACCATCCCTCTCCAACTGCCACAGGCAAGGGGCTGCCAGCGTAAGCTGAGAGATGAGTGACAACCTGGCACACCCTGCAGAGATGATGGCAGAGCTCCGTGCTTCCCTGTCTTATTGCTAAAGTGTTTTCTCCTTTGTGGTTGTCTTCTGTCTTTGCTCAGATCCATTTGCAATCCCCTTGTCATTCTTTTGAAACCATTTACAAAAATAAACATAAGCGTCTATGTGCCAGGCTCCTGTGGTACCGGGTACACGGCACTCACGGGGAGCCCAAAGGGGGAGAAGTGATGAAAGGGCTGATCTGGACATGGACAAATCCCTGAGCCTCGAGCTACAGCTGCAATGCTGAGAACTGCCCCCGACCTCTTTAGTAGTTGTGAAAAATACTTTGAATGTGGTCTTTGAAGTTTTTTCTGGGCGACTCCAGAAAGTTTCAGTTCTGAGGTGCCCTTCAGAGAGTGTGAACGTGCTGACCCACTATCAGAGGCTGAGAGAGAAAATCTCCAAGCTTCCCTCCTCCGTAAACTATCTGCACAGTAGCACCTCACTTCCAGTCAGCCTTGGAGAAGAGATGTTGGATGGCACTGGGGCTTTGTCAGGCAGAAATTCATTAAAATAACCTTGTGAGAACCTTCTTTATGACCAGGACAAAAATTTCTAGGTCTCAGAGAGAGAACCCAAACAGAGCTCGCTGCCCTGCCTTGGCCACCAGAACAAGCCCTGAGACGCTCAGGGATAAATGCCAGGCTCCGCCGCAGCCGGAGGGGCTAAGCCTGGCAGGAAACACCAGGCACCCAAGGCTTCGCTCTGCTCCCTTGGCTAGCTCCGTGTCTCCTTCCCGGGACATGTCCTGCCTGCCGAGCTGCCGTGCAGCTCTGTCACCAGGAGATGGAGGCTTCGTCCCGCTGCAACGCGGAGTACCGCATCGCCGCCTCGGCGATCTGAGAGGGGACGCAACTGCGCAGGCAAACAAAAGAAGAGTTCAGTTTTCATCTCGGGGTTTAAACAACCCTGACTGAACAGTAACCGAAAAGACAACAGGCAACGGCACCATGACCGCCCGCGCAGGCTGTGGCTGAAGACCTTCCAAGAGCCGAGCGCTGGCTCAGACACCAGGAGACACAGCTGGGAAAGGAGCTGCGACCTCCCCTTCTCCAGACAGAGTGCTCCGGAACACCAGTTCTGCGGTGAAGCTCCCACCAGAGCACGCAATCGAACAAATGGGTCCCCGACACAACTTTGTCTCCATGTGCCACCGGCACGCTCCGTCACCACTCGGCCCGGCTGGTCCAGCTGCATCGTAACATCGCACAGCAGGGTGTGAGCATCCCGGGAGCTGCAGCACATGCGGGTCACGTCTCCGGGCCCTGACACCCGGCACTTCCCCTGGCGCCGATGAGAAGCGGGGAGCGGCAGGCGGTTTGCCTGACCCATGTACACCCGTGGCTGTACCACGCAGCCTTCTGGAGTGGAGAGAGCCGAACCTCTTCAGCTGGAAAGTGGGAGCGCGGTGTCGCCCGGCCTGTGCAGGGAACACAAACAAAGCATGTGGCACCCTGCCAGCACCCGTGGGGGACAGGGAGAGAGGCAAGTGACAGATCTTGGCTAAGAAAAGCATCTCCAATACACTTAGCTCTGAAGTACAGTGTAAACCCAGCAACTGTACCCAAGTGATTGCAGCAAACCTGTATTTAAACAAAGCTGATGACAGTTCCAGTGGGCATTTCACAGGCATTTCTGCTTGCTGAATTTATCCTGCTCTCTGCATTTATCTTGCACGTGTCTTTTTCTGACAAAACAGAAAGGATCTTCACACCTGAGCACAGCACTCCTTCACCCACCAGGCAGGAACCACACAGGGCCACCTGTGCCCTGCCACCGCGTGGAGCCGCAGCAGAGGAGCGGCGGCGGGGG